GTTTAAGGTAGCAACTTTTTGGTCCCCCAAAATTTCGGGGAGGGGGGGGGTGGCCACCCCTAAGGGGGACGGGGGTTAACTTTTTTTTTTCAAATGGCAACCCCCCTTTTGCGATACTTTATTCGAAAGATAATAAAAAAAGAACATTTTTGGCGCAAACCGCAGGTCAAAATGTTGATTTTTGACAAAATGGCGGCCGGTCAGAGTTCAAAATGGCGGAAATTTGGCATCTCCGTTTTTTATCGGCGGATTGGTCTGAAACTCAGAATCCTAGGGTTTTTTGGGACGAGAAAAACGATTCTGGCATTAGTTTTCCAGAAATTTCGGTCCTTTTCGGAATGGCGGCGGTTAAAATGGCGGCTTAGAGCGGGAAGTGGATATTTACGCTGCTTATCGTCAGAGTTGTATGAGACTTTGTATTTCGGCACGAGAAGAACGAATCTTCCATTGCATTTTTGAAATTTTTAAAGACTTTTGGAAAATTTGGAAAGATCTAGTATATCTTTTTCGATTTTTTTCCCCGGTAGAAACATTTGTACTAATCAAAAAAAATGAATAAATAAAAAAATAAAAAATAAATTCTTCTGAAAGTTTCAGTGAAGGATATGAAAAATATTTCCCCCGTAACATCAATGCATCCTCCAAATTTTAATCGGTTTTACCTACGTGTTAAGTTCGGTAGAATGGATTTTTATTGTTTTTCAAGCCTACCAAAACCTTTGTAATGCGTGACGTGATTCGCGTATATTCTTGTTTTTCTCGTGAGCAAGAAATTCAAATTTTTCTCAACTTACGCAAGATACACATTTAAATATCTTGGTTAGGAGTTAATTTCATTAATGTTTGTCACACGAATCTTGTTGCACAGTGAAATTCTGAAGAGGAAATATAGGTATATCAGAATGCTAAAATTTTCATACTCTCGTTTGACGGTTCATTAGATTTGATGGATCTGAGTAGTTTTTCAAATTGCACATTTGATTCAGAAAAACGTGTGAAATCGAAGGTTTTCCTTACTCAGAGGATACGGAGCATGTAGGTGGAAATAAGCAATGATTCCTCATCTCACCCTTAGTTCTGGCAGATGAGGGAGGCTTCTCCTCTACAGAGTCTTCTGCAACGTTTGGCTTCGCAGTATTCCAACTCGTTACCCACCGACTGGCATGAATTAATGCATTCCTCGCAAAGTTCTATATTTGGTCCCGAGCCCCGGAAACAGGGCCGAATCATTCGCGGTAAAGATACCCCTTGGTGTTTCTGCTCTTTCTCTCCGCTCACCTGTAATCAAAGAGATTTATCATCACAAGATTTCCCTACCCAATGGCTGATTATTAAGATTGAGTGACAAAGCGATAGACAATGGAAATACGGACGATCCTCTCGATGAAGGCGAGTGTTTATAATGGACAAAAGAGGTAAGTTACCTACCAACCAACAGCAAATCACTCTCTATCTTTGTCTATAATTACCACTCGTTTCAGCCAATAGGATTGCTCCACTTTCCATCACTTCTTCTATCAATTGCAAAAATCAGCCTGCTGTTAACACGGTATCTAGACGATTCTATCACAATAGCACGACTAGAGTAAATGCCGTAATTGTTAATAATATCCTTACAGGAATTCCTATCACGGGTTTTTTTTCAATTTTTTATGGTGGAAAAACATATATTTTACTAAGTATTGCACTAAATCGAGGAATTTTTTCATTATTTAGACGAACTACTCAGTAGAATTAAGATGGGGGGGGGGGGGGGAGGGGCAGCTTTTCAAAACATTGCTTTATTTCTATTCCGAGTTGCGGAAAACATATATCTTCTATTATTAACTGGTTGGTTTGAAACATTCTCTCACTGAAGGAACTGAGCTTTCAAATAGTTTTAAGGGGTGAAATGAAAATGGAGCACAAATCAAATAGAAAAGCTGACGTGTACAAACCAGTGATATGACGATTATAAGACCAAAAGTGACGGTGAAGAGGAGCCTCATTTTGATGCAAGTTTGATGGCGACAAAGCGAATATGAGATCTATGGTGGGAAGATTGACGACCACTTCAGGAGAGGAATAATTTTAACTTTTCAAGACGAGGCAACAGGCGTTGGCTGTTCACGGCAATTACCTCTTTTTATGGAGGAGCTGACGAGGGGCACAAGTTAATCATTCTTGGCCCATACGGAGTTCTTGCATTCATTGATCGAGGATTCTAAATTCAAGTATGAATTTCATAAGTTAAAGATAAAGTTAAAATTTCGGAAAATGCTCAAGGACGTGTCTCTTTAATTTCATGTTTCTATAATATAAATTTGTTTCATCAAAAATGGCGTCGCAAAAAAAATTCCATACAGTAGATGGTTATTACGATTTTTTTCAGCACTCGGACGCTAATACTTTTTAATTTTAGCCGTGGGTTAATTTCCTGAGAGCCGGTAATTGCGTGAATTGCTCATAGAACCGCCCAATAATAACCTGTTTCTTGGGCAGCCAAACCGCCATCGAATCGGGAATTAATGGAAGCTGATAATGACCAAAAGCTCTGAAAAAATGGGTTGTTCCAAAAACGCCGATTTTGACCCACCCTGGATTTGGCCCAAACTTTGCCCAGATGTTGTACTAAGTGTCCTTAATGCTTGGGGGAAATTTCAGCTCCCTCGCATAATAAGGGAGGGGGCAGGGGAGCTAGGTTGCAATTTTTTCAAAACTTTAAAAATCGATATCTCGCGAACGGTTTGAGTGCAAGTATTGCGGATTTCGCTATAAATCATTAAAAAGTATTTTCTACAAGAATATCAATGTTGTGTGGACGGTTGCGTTATTTTTATGGTTATAAATAGATTTTTTTATGTTTTTGACGGTTTGACTTTTTTTCGTTTTTCGTCACTCCTCTGCAGGCGATCGTTGCTAGGTGAATAAAAACCTGCCGACGTGATTCCCCATAGAATTCTGCATCTGCCGCACTTATTTGACCTTGGAAAAGCGATTCGTTCTTGATGATTAGCGATTTTCCTTCGCGTTCCCGGTTACACGCGCGGCATATCGGCGGCGCCCCAGCGAGGGAGATGTTGTTTCAACGCTGAGGCGTTAAATTCCTGCGGTAGGCTGTAATAATCTATATTTTTTCCTCCCCCTCCCTTCCCCTTCAATATTTTTTTTTTAATTCGTTATGCAGGGTGTCCCAAAAGTCCGTAGCCCCCCCCCCCCCC